CTCATCTTCAGTTAACAACCAAAAGGCCAGAAATGGCTCGAGTGCTAGAGTACCAGCCTTGAGCAAAAAAGCTAAGGGAAAGGGCAAGACTCCAAATTCCAGCCCCAATACTGTCACTAAAAAGAAGGAGAAGAAAAATTGCGTGTTTGTGGCTCATCCAAAACCACAGATGGCCCACTGGGTTTCCGGGAGAGGCCTCCTCTTCCGGGCATCCTCGAGAAGCAGTGATTCAGTATTAACTAGCAGTGCCTCCGGCTGGGCTCTCAGCAGAGGGGATCTAAGGCCAGGAATGGCTTGTGATTCTGAGCAAGCATCTAGGTAGGATAAACATCCGTACTGCAGTTACTCAGAAAGGCCTCCCACCTCCCCTCCTCCGGCTCCTGGGAGGCCTCTGCTGCCTCATCCCCAACTGTATGAAGTCATGGATTTTCCAGAACTGCTCCAGTCTGGGGTGGAAGCCCAGGACCAGTGACTGGTCTGGGGTGGAGCTGATGACAACACAGCCGGGCCTAGTTACGACAGAGGCGGGAAGAGCGCAAGCGTCCACACTCAGCCAGCCTGATTGTAATCCATCCATTTTCAGTAGCTGTAACAAAATACCCTAGACCACAAGACTTATGACGAATGGAGGTTTGCAAGGCTCATGGTCTGGGCAGTGGGAAATCCAAGAGCCTGGTGTGGCATCTGGTGAGACTCTTCTTGACTTGTATCACAGCTTCTTGGGGGACAGAGCGAGACCTCCTTCCCCTCACTAAGTCCCAGTATGAGGGCTTCATCTTGACCCCCAAGCCCTGCCATTCAAATGCCGTTACATTACGTGTGCATGTATATTACATTACATGTCAATTTGGGGATTAGGTATCCCATAAGATCTGGGGGACAGACTCAAACTTTAGCACTCTGCTATTATGGAATTCAACTTCCCCTCCTTCTCTCCCCTCCCCTTTTCTTTATGGCGGTACTGGGGCTTGAACTCAGGAAATTTGCACACTGGTGTGCAAGTTATTTGCCTCATTTATCTCTTATTTGCCTTCCCCTCTTGGCGTTGGTTATTTTCACGATAGAGTAGTGCTTTGTGTCTGGGCTGACCTGGACTGTGGTCCTCCTATTTCACCGGGATTACAGATGCGAGCAGCCACACCCACTATCAGGCTTGCCCCATAGCAAGGCATGACAGGGCACAGGCCACAGAGCACAGGCGAGTGCTTCCCTTCAGCTGGTGAGAGTCATGCCACCACACTCAACTATTGACTGAGGTGCACTCTAACTTTTACGCCCAGGGTGCCTTTGAGTGGCAATCCTCCAAACTCTGTCTCCCAAAATGCTAGGAATATAAGCTTGAGCCGTTATGTCTGGTTTACTTTAGTGATTTTCTTTTTAAATAGGGACTTATCTGTATGTCTGTGGCTGACTTTGATTACTATCCTTCTATTTCGCTGGGATTAAAGGCCTGAGCTACTGTTCTTGCCTGCCTACTGTTACCTTGTCATCTTTAAATGTATCACTGCCCTTCCTGGGGACAGAAACCACAACCGTAAAACAAAAAGTTAAATCACACCGGGTGCTGGTGGCTCATGCCTGTAATCCTAGCTACTCAGGAGGCTGAGATCTGAGGATCTGGGTTTAAAGCCAGCCCAGGCAGGAAAGTCCGTGAGACTCTTATCTCCAGTAAACCACTAGAAAACCAGAAGTGGCACTATGGCTCAAGCCGTAGAGCACTCGCCTTGAGCTGAAGAGCTGAGGGACAGAGCCCAAGCCCAGAGTTCAAGCCCCACAACCAACCAAAAAAAAAAAAGTTAAATCAAAGCTGGGCACTGGTTTCTTACACTTGTAATCCTAGCTACTCAGGAGGCTGAGATCTGAGGATCCCAGTTTGATGCTGATTGGAGATGGCCAGCTGGACTTGAGGTCTTGGGTAGGGGGGGGGAACCTCAGGGATGGTGTCCTTTTGCTGGGAATTGTTCTAACATAACCTGAAGGCCCGCACCAAAGGCCAGCACCATGCCCAGAAACTTTCCAGCCTCTAGACCATGAGCCTCTACACTCTATATAAACCATGCAGTCTTGGGTGTTTTGTGATAACTAAGATGGGCCGGTGGCTGGTGGCATTCCATCTTCAGCTCTGACTCATTCTCCTTCTTCAGCTGTCATGGGTCACCTGGAAGATGATGCTATGACTACTGGCGCCGAAGACAGCATGCCTACGCTGGGTGCAGAGGACAGCCTGGTAACCTCAGGCCCTACCGAGGGGCCGCAGGCAAGTAATCCCAGAGGAGGGGAGGCTTCGACAGGACAGGAGCATGTGCGTGAGGACACGACGTGTAAAAAAGCGTAAAACTAGCATGGGCAGACACCAGGGAACAGCTGTGCAGCTCACCACAAAAATCTACTTCCCAGTTTCACCAGGGAGGAGGTAGCTGGTGAGTCAGTTGTGAGTAACTCAAGTGTCATAAATGAGGCCTTTTCAAACTAATGAAGAAGCCAGGTGGTAAAACTCGCAAGATCTTTGGGCATGTGGTGATAACTTTGATGCTCTAAGTTCCGAAATACGTCGTCTCATTCTAATCTGACCATTGATGGGTAAGGAGCACCGCTGGAACCAGACACAGACGTCACTAATCGTGTGGAATCTCAGCACAAACATTTCCTCACCTGATGAATTCTAATTGACTCCTGTGTGTGTGTGTGTGTGTGTGTGTGTGTGTGTGTGTATGTGTGTGTGTGTGTGTGTGTGTGTGTGTGTGTGTGTGTGTGTGACTACAGGGGGTTTAAACTCAATACCTTCTGCTTTCAGTTGGTTGTTTCTGCTCAAGGTTGGTGCTCAACCACTTGAGCCACAACTTTACTCCAGCTTTTTGGTGGTTAATTAGGGATAAGAGTCTGTGGACTTTCTGCCTCCTGAATAGCTAGCTGGCTTAAAATCAATATCTTGTTGTGGTTTTGGTTTGTATTTCTGACCATTGACACTGATTGTCTTTTTACCTACTATCAACTGAATATCATCTTTGGAGAAATGTCTGTTCAAATTTATCACCTGGTTTTTAACTGAGTTGTATCTAATGTAGATTCATTTACTTGTTAAATTATAACATTTTTCTTTTTTTTTTCTTTCTTTTTTTTTTTTTTCTGATTGTGGGGCCTGAACTCTGGGCCTGGGCACTGTCCTTCAGCTCTTCAGCTCAAGGCTAGCGCTCTACCACTAGAGTCACAGAGCCACTTCCAGCTTTTTCTGCTTATGTGGGGCTGAAGAACCAAACCCAGGGCCTCATGCATGCAAGGCAAACACTCTGAGCCACTGAGCCACCTTCCCAGCCCTTTTGTTTGCTTTTTTGAGACAGGCTCTTGCTAGATAGCACAGGCTGGCTTTGAACTTGGTCCTTCTGTCTCAGCCTCCCAAGTGCTGGGATTACATGTATGCATCACCACACCTGGCCCTCCTTGGAGAAATTAATTTATTTCATTGTTATTACAAAGTTGATGTACAGAGAGGTTACTGTGTTGTGTGAGTCAGGTAAAGAATACATTTCTGTTTTGGACACTGTCACCCTTTCCCTTGCTCTCTCCCAGTTGTTTTGGTTTTTTCCCTCCCATCACCACCCACAAGTTTGCAGTTCATTTTCAACATAGTTTCTACTCTCTACCCCTGGCTTGTTTAAGCACATATATACGTGCTTTCTCCCACCCCAGCTGCCATCTTACTTTGGGTTGTATCCTTTGGTGCACAGGAGTTCTTGTTTGCTGTGATCCTATTCATTTGTTAGTTAAATGCTCCATTGGCCTACACTTGCAGGTCACAGAACCACTTCTGTGGAAGCTTCAAAGTCCTAAGGGTCTTTTTCTATGCTAATGAGTCCACTAATTGCTGGTAGCTTCCAGATGTCTAAGACAGACGTTGCCTAATCGGAAGGCTGGGACGCTCAGCCCCACCCAGCACCCTCTGCCTTGAGAACCTCTGCTGGAAGGGCAAGTTGATGGCCTTGATCCATCACTCACCTACCACAAAGCCTCCTTAAAAACTCCAGGCAGGGTTTGGAGTGTCTGGGCGGCGCCTGGAGGATGGCATGCCGGGAAGGCACAGCGCCTCCGTGCCTCTTCCACAGAACTTTGCCCTGTGTGCTTCTTCGCACGTATGCTTCCCAAACAGAGAGCCAGTGTGAAGAACAAAGAAACACAGGACCACTTTCAAGTCCTGCTCTCTCACTTAATGGCTGTGGCTTAGGACCAGTGCACCCTGAACCTTGTTAGTAGAAATGACCTAATAAAAGGATGTGCCTGACAGGTTTATGAATGGAGTAAGGGAGAGAAACTCTTCAAGGGCCCAGCAGAAGGCCAGCTCTCAGTGAAGCCTGGCCGCCACTGCTCTTGGAGGCTTGGCATTAATAAAAAATGGTACAAATAGCCTGGTTCTGGTGGCTCACACCTGTCATCCTAGCTACTCAGGAGGCTGAGAACTGAGCATCATGGTTTGAAGCCAGCCTGGGCAGGAAAGTCTGTGAGACTCTTACCTCCAATTAACTACTAAAAAAGCCAGAAGTGGAACTATGGCTCAAATGATACAGTGCTAGTTTTGAGTAAAAAAGCTCAGGGATAGAGTACCCCAGCATCCAGGCCCTGAGTTCAAGCCCTAGGACCATCCCCTCTCCCCACCAAATGATACAAATAAGCACCAAAAACTGTTAAAGGGGAAAACATTGAAGTTCAAGGGAGAGAAACAATTAATCATGGATCCAGTATATTTTGGGGGAAGGGGAGAAGAATTAAGAGATTAGGAAGTCTGCACTCCAAACATTTGGGGTTCATTTCTGGACTAGGTTGACTCATTTTATTCTTGGCCCTACCATTGTTGGTTCTTTCTGTTTGTTTTCTTGCTTCCATTTGGAGTTTATGCTAGAGTATGTCTCATGTATTTGTGCCTCCTGAAATCTTTCTGCTGTCAGGCTGTACATTGGAAATACATGAGGCTTTATTTTCTGGGTTGGCTCATTTTCATTTCTTCATAGATGCCAACCAGGGCAAAGAGTTCAACCAATGCTGGCCTAGAAGATCTGCCCACGTCAGGCAGCTCAGTTGATGATCACAAAGAAAGCTCCACAACCCTACTCACCGCAACACACCACCCTGTGGATAAGAAGACCGGTCACCCCAACAGAGGTGGGTCGACCTTTGTGGAACTTGGGCATTCTACGTATAATATTATAACCAATAGGGGACATACTGGTTCTAATAGAAGACAATATATTGGTTTGACTATAAGACAATATAAGGAGTGAATCCAGAGCCAAGCTTTTGTGTGATAGGCGCAGAATTTGATTTGTAGGTAGCTATATCAAATTCAATTTATTGAGCTGCTGGAAACATCCTTCTGTCTCTAAACAACGTCTGGAATCATAGTGATGATGTCCTTATAAAGAGAGGGTAAATGAATTAGCTCCTTCTGTTGCTTTGCTGACACTAAAAAGCATGAAGCTCAGCCTGTCTATGTACATCTTAAGAGATTCAGCAACACTGATTTCCATTTCCATTATGCTGGCCAAGGATCAGAGCTAATCCAGACTTACCAGGATTTGGGGTGGTGTTCGTGATTTCGCAGGGCCCTGCTGCAGTGTGGTAGAGAAACTTTGGTCAGGCTGGAGGTGTGGCTCAAGCGTAGAGCGCCAGCTTGCTCAGCAAGCAGAGCGAGTGTGAGACTCCAAGCTCAAATCATGACACTGGCAAAAAAAATAACAACAGCAAAAACAAAAAGTGACGCAGGGTATGCATAAAGGAACAACTAATATTGAAACTGGATTTTTATTTTATATTTTTATTTTTATTTTTGCTGGTTGTGGGGCCTGAACCCTGAGGCGCTGTCCCTCAGCTCTTCAGCTCAAGGCTAGCACTCTACCACTTGAGCCACAGTGCCACTTTCAACTTTTTCTGCTTAGGTGGTGCTGAGGAATCGAACCCAGGGCTTCATGCATGCAAGGCAAGCGCTCTACCACTGAGCCACCTTCCCAGCCCTGAAACTGGATTTTTAGCAACTCCCCCACCCCCGCCAGGCCCAAATTCCAGGAGTCTTACTTGTCAGGTCTAGCCAGTTGCTTTTATATACTAAATTAAGAGACATCATGGTGAAGGGCAGAAAGAGGAGATTTATTACATGGCAGCCATGGGGCCACCTTCAGGCATGTTTAAAAATACTGTACAGACATTTGCCATAGCTGTAAGTAAGACAAGGAACTGGGGGCAGGAGATGGGAAAGGTGTGCTTGGTTTTAACAGTTGTAGTGGTGGGCGTGGCCTGGTTGATGTCTCTGGAAGACCTCACCACTGATGGGAAACAGAAGCAGCCCATCAGTATTGGCTGGCTGCAGGTCTGTCCTGCGCTCTCTTTTGGGCAAGATGTGAGTGAGTAGCTAGCATTGCCCATCGGAGGGGCAGTTTGCCTTCTGCCACAAGAGGCCATCACTGGTAAATCCCACCCTTCTTGGAGCCCAAGGTGACCTCGAAGAGAATGGCTCCTCTCAGAGGGCACGGATGCCAATTGGGGGAGGGCTTTTCTCTTGCTTTTAGTTAATTCATTGGCCCAGCCAGTGCAACTTGGAAGTTACCCCTTACAATAGGATTCCACTCCTATGTGGTATCTAAAGCAGCGAAAATTCATAGAGTTGGAAAGTGGATAAAGTTGGTAGTGACTAGGGGCTGAGGGGATAAATGAGTTATGAGTTATGGCTCAGTGGGTATGGCATTTCAGTTTTGCTAGCTGGAAAGAATTGTGTGGTCTAGGACATAGCTCTGTGGTAGAGTGCTTGCCTAGCATGCATGAGGCCCTGGGTTTAATAATTAGCACTGGAAAACCAGAGAGAGAGAAAGCACTGTGAATGGATACACCATTGAATTGAACCCTTAAAATGGTTCATTAAATACATTTCCTGCTGTGTGGATTTTAACCACAATTTTTGGGGGGGAGGGTCAGTCGTGGGGCTTGAACTCTGGGCCTGGGCGCTGTCCCTGCCCTCTTCAGCTCAAGGCAAGCACTCTACCATTTGAGCCACAGCGCCACTTCTGGTGGTTTATTGGAGATAAGGGTCTCATGGATCCTTCCCAGGCTGGCTTTGAACTGTGATCCTCAGATCTCAGCTTCTGCAGTAGCTAGGATTATAGGCATGAGCCACCAGTGCCTGGCTTAACTACAGTTCTTAGAGAGAATGTTTTATTAGGGGAAAGCTTCCTGCCAAAGCGGGTAATAGATAATTGGAGATAACTCAGCCCTGATATTCCCAAACCAACCCACAACTCTCCAAGCACATGCCAGACCTCGCCACAGGCTGTAGGTGCTCCATGGTATTCATAGTGGGCTGGGTATCCACAGCTCTGGTTCTTTTGCTACTGTAATCTATGAAAGCATTTTGACCATTTATTTCACAGTTGTGCTTCAGTGTACTTGACTCTGATTTCTTTATTTTTAAGTACTGGCATTTGAAGTCAGGGCATCACACTTGAGCTAAGTGCTCTACTACCATAGGTCACATCTTTTCTGCAGGGTGTGTGTGTGTGTGTGTGTGTGTGTGTGTGTGAGAGAGAGAGAGAGAGAGAGAGAGAGAGAGAGAGAGAGAGAGAGAGAGCATTGACTCTAGGGCTTGAACCCACGGCCTAGATGCTGTCTCTTAGCTTTGCTTTTTCACTGAAGGCTAGCACTCTACAACTTGATCCACAGTACCACTTCTGACTTTTTGATTGTTAGTTGGAGATAAGTGTCTCATAGACCTTTCTCCCAGGATGGCTTCAAACTGCGATCATCAAATCTCAGCCGCATGAGTAGCTAGGATTACAGGCATGTACCATCAGAGGCCAGCCACATCTCTGCTTTGTAAATTGGAATGGGGGATATATAAATATAATGAACCCAAAGGTATGATGAAGTATTATACCTTTGCTAATAATAGTTACAAAGGTGGTGTCATGTCATAGCTCGCTTAAAACTCCCCTGTGAAGTTTATTTAAGAAGTTGCCTTCTGCATATATTTGCCAGCTGCTCAATTATAGGTATTAAATCCTACTAATTCCTTATCATCGTTTTTCTCTTTGCAGAGAAGGTGGCTGAAGAGACACAGACAACAGACAAGAATGGTAAATAAGATTTTTTATTATCCAACTAGTCCTATGGGAATTGAAAGGACAATTTCTCTGAATTTAATCTTAGAGATGGATTGCATTCTTTTCTGTATTATAGCCAATAGGAACAGAATAAGATTCCTTCTCAAAACAGATTTCATGTTTCTTTCTTTTTAAATTTTTTTATTCAGAAAGAAAGGGGAATCCCTATATTTGAAGAAGAAGAAAAAAGCCAGGCACCAGTGGCCAACACCTGTAATCCTAGCAACTCAGGAGTCCTCAGACTCCTGAGTGTGTGTGTGCGTGTGTGTGTGTGTGCGCGCACGCGCGTGTTTGTTTGTTTTTTGCCAGTTCTGGCGCTTGAACTCAGGGCCTGGGCACTGTCCCTGAACTCCTTTTGCTCAAGGCTAGCGCTCTACCATTTGAGCCACAGCACCACTTCCAGCCTTTACCATTTATGTGATACTGAGGAACCAAACCCAGTGTTTCATGCATGCTAGGCAAGCACTCTACCACTAAGCAACATTCTCAGCCCCAGGAGTCTGAGATTTGAGGATCACAATTTGAAGCTAGCCTGGGCAAGAAAGTCTGTGAGACTCTTTTGTTATTGGTGGTGGTGGTGGTGGTGGTCATCGTGGGGCTTGAACTCTGGGCCTAGGCACTGTCCCTCAGCTCTTCAACTCAAGGTGAGCACTCTACCACATGAGCCACAGCACCACTTGCAGTTTTCTGGTGGTTGATTGTAGATAAGAGTCTCACGGACTTTCCTGCCTGGTTGGCTTTGAACTATGATCCTCAGATCTTAGCCTCCTGAGTAGCTAGGATTACAGGAGTGAGTCACAGGCACCCAGCTATGAGACTCTTATCTCCAAATAACCAGCAGAAAACTGAAAGTAGCACTGAGGCTCAAAGTGGTAGTGCACTACTGAGTTCAAGCCTTCACAACTGACATAAATAAATAAATAAATAAAATAAAGCAGAGCTAGGCATCAGTGGCTCGCTATATAAAGTCCTAGCCCCTCAGGAGGCTGAAAATTAAGTGTCAAAGTTCAAAGCCAACCTAGGCAGGAAAGTCCATGTGTGTGACTCTTACTTTCAATTAAGCAACAAAAAAGGGGGAAGTGAAGGCATGGCTCAAGTGGTAAAGCACCATCCTTGAACAAAAAAGTCAAGTGAGAGTGTGAGACCCTGAGTTCAAGCCCTAGTACACACACACACACACACACACACACACACACACACAGAGCTGGGGACATAGCTCAGTGGTAAAGCACTTTCTAGCATGGGATCCCAGTGTTGCAAATAGATAAATGACCATTGTGGAGCAGGGCATTGGTTGGCTGTTGCTGGGATTGAATGGAGAGGCCTGTGGAGTAGACCGCAGGATAACGCCCATTGACAGAGGCCGGGGTGTTCTATGTGGTTGAGAGCCGTGCATTCATCACATGAATGGATTCATAAAATGGCATTTGCTTGGGGCTGGGGATAAGCTACTGGAGGGAGCGTTTACCTTGCATGTTCCGGCCCTGGGGTTGATGTACAGCATGGGAAGAGGAGCTCGACCTTCTGCCTGGGTCTGGGGGAGGCGACGTGGAACTTCATTTGCTGTGTGCAGTGACACGGTGCCCTTGTTGACCTCTGACCTTCTCTGCAGCGCAGAGCTGCCTCTCATCTGGTCTTCACGTCCTCTTCTCCGCTCCTTTCAGGTGGTCTGGCCACAGTGACCCTGGTCGGCATCATCGTCGGGGTCTTATTAGCCATTGGCTTTATTGGAGGCATCATCATAGTGGTTATGCGGAAAGTTTCTGGAAGGTTCTCGTAAGTAAACTGAAAGTGATTCCTGTAAGTAAATCACAGGCAGTCCTGCATGGTGGCTAAGCCTTTCCCCTATTAGAAATCTCTATTTGAAGGCGAGGCTTAAAATCCATTACCACAAGAACTGTCCCCGAGGATCCCCTGTTGGGTCTTGGTCCGTCTTTGGACAGACGTACGGGGTCCGAGGAGAGGTAAGTGCGAAGTGGGGCCTCTAGCCCGTTCCCCAGCCTCCCTTACCCAGGTAGCCCGGGAGACAATCAGATGCAGCGGGGAGTCCAACCAAGCAGGAACTTGTTTATTAACATGAAGCTTGTCCTTTTTAAAGCAAAAGACTGCGTGGGAAGGGAGGAAATGGAACCAACCAATCACTGTAAAAGCCACACCTTATCATGCACCTAAGCTTCCATGAGTTGTTTACACAATGAACATAAACAATTCCGGCTCTGCCCACTCAACTTCCTCTCAGGTTCATCTTTGCTGCCTGTGTTCCCCACAATTCCCCAGAATAGATGTGGGCTTAGATGTCTAAAACCAGAAAGCCAGAGCCTGGGAGGGTCTCAAGGTGACCTCTGTAGTCGACATCTGACCCGATCCAGTCTCTTGTCTTCATTTTCTAACTAACTGAACACAAAAGAAAACCCAAACCAAGTTTTAACTTGCGACCCAGCTTCCCACTATTGGAGGGAAGTTTCTGGAAGACAGCTTGTCACCGGGCTGTGCTCCCATTCTGACAAGAGAGTGGTAATGATGGGAGGGGGGTTATAATCTAGATCCTTCCATGTCTGCCCTCACAAAAGAAACAAAAAACAAAAAACCCTACCTTGGGTCCTTCTAGCTTCCTAGCATTGACTTTTTTTTTCTTTTTGGTTGGTCACAGGGCCTGAACTCTGGGCCTGGGCGCTGTCCCTCAGCTCTTCAGCTCAAGGCTAGCACTCTACCACTTGAGCCACAGCGCCACTTCCGGCTTTTTTTTTCTGCTTATGTGGTGCTGAGGAATCGAACCCAGGGCCTCAGGCATGCAAGGCAAGCGCTCTACCACTGATCCACCTTCCCAGCCCTGTTAGCATTGACTACTGATGATAGGAAGACCTTCTTTCTCTTTATTACACTCCCTTTAAGAATTCAGTGTTCAGTCAAGTTTGGTGGCTCACTTTTGTAATCCCAGCTACTTAAGAAATGGATATCTGATGTTTTCTCTCATATGTGGAAGTTTAGCTCTAAATTAGAAATACGTATATATATATATATATATATATATATATATATATATATAATCATAGATGGTTATATTCATCTCTGTACACAAACATATTAACTGAAATATGGTATACATAGTGGATTTTTGAACAAGTTTTAACAAAATGAAAACCAGGAAGCTGGAATTTGTATTGTGTGGGGGTGAGATCAAGGGAGGGGGGTAGACAAGTGGAGAGAGGAAGGGTGGGTGAGTGCAATTGTAATATTCAATGTACACTTGTGAAAATGGAACTAGGAAAATTGAGGGGATGGGTGGGAGAGAGATAGAGAATGACAAAAGAGGTGACACTGATCAAGATGCATTGTGCACACAAGCTGACATGTTAAACTGAAATGCTTTTGTGCAACTAAAGATAATAAATAAACAAATAAGCAATTTGTTTTGCTGGTCCTGGGGCTTGAATTCAGGACCTGGGCACTGTCCCTGAGCTGCTTTTGTTGTTGTTGTTTTTTGTTGTGGGGCCTGAACTCTGGGCCTGGGCGCTGTCCCTCAGCTCTTCAGCTCAAGGCTAGGGCTCTACCACTTGAGCCACAGCGCCACTTCTGGCTTTTTCTGCTTATGTGGTGCTAAGGAATCAAACCCAGGGCCTCTTGCATGCAAGGCAAGCACTCTACCACTGAGCCACCTTCCCAGCCCCTGCCCCTGCCCCTGAGTTTCTTTTGTTCAAGGTTAGCACTCTACCACTTGTGCCATAGAACTTCAATCTATTTTTTAGTGGTTTATTGGAGTTGAGATGTAAAGTCTCACAAACTTTCCTGCCCGGGTTGGCTTCAAACCATTGATCCTCAGATCTCAGCCTCCTGAGTAGCTAGGGGTTATTGGTATGAGCCAAAAGTACCTGGCTTTAAATTAGTATTTTTTCAAAAAATAAATAATTTCACCGGGTGCTGGTGGCTCATGCCTGTAATCCTAGCTACTCAGGAGGCTGAGATCTGAGGATCATGGTTCAAAGCCAACCCAGGAAGGAAAGTCCATGAGACTCTTATCTCCAATAAACCACTAGAAAACCAGAATGGCACTGTAGCTCAAGGGGTAGACCGCTAGCCTTGAGCTGAAGAGTTGAGGGACAATGCCCAAGCCCAGAGTTCAAGCCTCACAACCAACAAAAAATAAATAAATAAGTCGGGAGCTTGTGGCTCATGCCTGTAACCCTAGCTACTGAGAAGGCTGAGATCTGAGGATCATGGTTCAAAGCCAGCCTGGGCAGAAAAGTCTGGGAGAGGGGTTGGGAAGGTGGCTCAATGGTAGAGCGCTTGCCTTGCATGCATGAGGCCCTGGGTTCGATTCCTCAGCACCACATAAGCAGCAAAAAAAAAAAAAAAAAAAAGCCGGAAGTGGCGCTGTGGCTCAGGTGGTAGAACACTAGCCTTGAGCTGAAGAGCTGAGGGACAGCGCCCAGGCCCAGAGTTCAGGCCCCAGGACCGGACCCAAAAAAAAAGAAAGAAAGAAAAGTCCGGGAGACCCTTATCTCCAATAAACCACTAGAAAACCTGTGGCTCAAGCAGTAGAGCCCTCGCCTCAAGCTGAAGAGTGCAGGGACAGTGCCCAAGACCAGAGTTCAAGCTGCACAACCAGCGGAAAGAAAGGAAGGAAGGAAGGAAGGAAGGGAAGGATTTTGAAAAGTGGGCATCTAGAATATTGTAGTTCAAGGCCAGCCTGGGTGGAGACCCTATATAAAAATTAAACTAGAGCAAAGAGGGCTGGAGGCATGGCTTAGGGAGTAAAAGGTCCCCAAATTAAACTCCAGTACTGCCAAAAAAGAAAAAAAAAAAGCAAAAGAAGCAGAGCATTCAAATTCATGACACAAGGAAAAACTTTGTTTCATCTTTAGGGGAGATGGATTGTGCTAGAAGTGGAGGGGGAAGGGCAGGTGACAGAAGATGGCTGGGGACCGGGGCGGGGATCATGACACAGCTGCTGGGTGTTGGGTTTGGAGATGTTTGCACATCTGACCTGGCTGATGAGGAGATATGGGGGAGTCAGAGGAGGAGGGCGCCAGGTTCCAGAGCTGGAAGTCAGAGAGGAGAGGACCCTAGGAGCACTGCTTTGTGGGGTTCACAGTGCAGCAAAGCTATTCATCGTCTCCCTTCTTGGTTCCACAGGCCCTGAAGGACGAGCCCATCTGAACGGTTTCTGACTCCTTCCGCTCCCCACCCCCCAGCTTGCGGGAGAAGATGACCCTGGGCTGCTGGCCAGCCTCCCTCCCAGCCTTTGCCAAAAGAAGCCAGAGGGGAGAGAACTCACCAGACTCGGCTCCTCAAAGCAGTTGATTTTTGGGGAAAAAAAATGTATATATATATATATATATATATATAATTTATATTTAATGTAAACAAATTTTGTAGTAGCTGACTTAAACAACCAGATGCATAGAAAATGGAGCAAAACTATGTCAGGAGGCTGAGATCTGAGGCTCGCAGGTCAAAGCCAGACCAGGCAGAATAGTCCATGAGTTCATATTCCTAACAGACCAGCAAAAAGCTAGTAGTGGAGTTGAGGCTCAAGCCTTAGAGGCCCAGACTTCAAGCCCCTGTACTGACACCAAAACAAATAACAACAACAGCAAAGAAAACCAATGGCAACCAAAAATAAATCAATAAAAACCTAACTATGTCAACTGATTTAGAACCAAGAAAATATGGTTCTGTTGATGGTAGAGAGACCGGAGTCTCGCTTGCCTTTGGCTATTCTGTGTTATTGTTGACATGTGCAGGAATCTGAAGCTGTTTATGTTCATGGAGTCCTGGGGCCCCGGTGTGACGTCAGTAGACAGCTCAGGCACCGTTTCCAGTTGCTGTTGAGATCTACACATTCCAGCCCCGTGGGGTCCAGTTGGGGAAAACCGATAGGATGTAGATAATCAAGGAGAAAACGTGCACTTGGACAATTATGTGATGAGCAACTTCTTTGAGGGGGTCCAGATGGATCCCTTCAGAATCTTCCATCTGGTTTCCCAGCCACAAGTCGGTACTTGGGTGAAGGTACTTTGTTCCTCACAAGATCACCTAGCAATCATGAGGCCAATGATGACCAGGACTCCAAGGCTGGTGTCACCTGCTCGCTCTAGATGACCAGAAGCACTCTCTCTTATGGCAGTGATTGGCTGCTTTGTCCTGCTCCCATGATGCCAGAGACTTGACTGTTCTAGAACCAAGCACCTCACAGCAAGAGGCCCTAAAATTCACCTGACATGGTGGGGGTGAGGGGGGACTTGTGTTTTGTTTTATTTTGTTTTGTTTCTCTTTTTTGTTTTTTTGACGGTCGTGCATCTTGAACTCTGGGCCCAGGAGCTGTCCCTCAGCTCTTCAGCTCAAAGCAAGCATTCTACCCCTTGAGCCACAGCGCCATTTCTGGTTTTCTGGTGGTTTATTGGAAAGAAGAGTCTCATGGACTTTCTTGCCGGGGCTGGCTTTGAACCATGATCCTCAGATCTCAGTAGCTAGGATTACAGGAGTGAGCCACCAGCTCCTGGCTTTTGTTTTGTGTTTTTAATGCTTGCTCTCTCTGGAGGACAGACAGAGAGAGTTTTAAAATAATCTTATACAATACTAATACCTTTAAAGCAATCTGATTTACAGAAGACCTGCTTTTCAAAATAAAAGCTATTCCCAGTCCTTACCCTATGAGGCCCCGTTGAAAAGATCAAAGTAAAATATCTGCCTCTGTCCCTTCCCGCTCGGGGCCGCTCTTCCTCTGTGGAGTTTGGTGTGGTTTGGGTTTGTTCTCTCCATGTCAAACTTTTGCACCCAGACACAGTGTCACGACCGCGATTGCACACCCCGATATCCTCTGAACTAGACCAAGAGCATCACACAGGAAAAAATAACCCACTGGGCAGAAGCCCGGCCCGCCTCCCGCCTGGCGTGGCTGTGCCTGAATGTTATTCTAAACAACGCATCCATATCTGTGGGTCCTCACAGCCAGGGCGGGGGTCAGACGGGGGTCCGTTGACGTCATCCAGATTCCTGAGCCAGAGTTAGGAAGAGTATTGATCCGTTTCTTCTGTCCCAGCCTTTCTTTCCTCTTCCACCTCCTACACTGGACCTGGAGCCTGCTGGCATAGGCTGTGGATTCTCAGTCTCACCTGAGCAGTGCAGACACATTTTCCAATAAAACATGATCATGTACAAAGCTTGAGTCAGACCTCTGATTGGAATCTGTGTGTGTGTGTGTGTGTGTGTGTGTGTGTGTGTGTGAGAGAGAGAGAGAGAGAGAGACAGACAGACAGACAGACAGACAGACAGAGCATGCATATGTGTATGCTGGGTGTTGTCCTTTAGCTTTTTTTGCCCAAGGCTGATGTTCTATTCCTTGAAAGCTCCACTTCTAAAAGAAAATTTTGAATGAAAAACTTTCTAAAAAGACAGATTACACCTAGTTTCTTAGCTAACTAAGAGACTGATTGCTGAGGAGCAAGGTTCAAATCTAGCTGTGGCAGGAAAGCCTATGCTGGACAACTGCACAGAAGCCACTGGAAATCTTGGGGTGGCATGGGGGCCCCCACTGGGATGAAGAAGGTGCGATTTGTGGTCTGTGGCCCAGGTGACAACGGAGAGGCTGGCACAGGCCAAGGGCCATCAACGGTTCAGTGGCTGAGCTCTAGTTCTGTGCCCCAGAGCTCCAGCCAGAGAATATACCATCCTGACCACGTGCCTCCTCCCTCCCTTTCTCCCTCCTTTCTTCTTTTCTTCCTTCCTTCCTTCTGTCTCTCTCTTCCTTCCCTCCCCTCCTTTCCTCCTTCCCTCTCTCTCTCATCTCCCTTTCACTTTCCTCTCTATTTTTTTGTGGCTTGGGGGCTTGAACTCAAGGCCTGGGTGCTGTCCCTGAGCCTCTCTGTGCTCAAGGCTGGCTCTCTACCACTTCAGCCACAGCACCGCTTCCAGCTTTTGAGTGGTTAATTGGAGGTAAGCATCTCACAGGGACTTTCCTGCGGTGACTGGCTTCAAACCATGATCCTCAGATCTCAGCCCCCTGCGTCGCTGGGATTACAGGCGTGAGCCACCAGCGCTTGGCTTCTCTTTATTTTTGAATTCTGAATTCCTTTTGGGGGTTTGAGGGGCAAGTATTCTACCACGTAAGTCACACCTCCAGCCTTTTTTTCTTCATAAGCTTGAGGCCATAGAAGGTCTAGATTTTAATTCAAATAGTTATTTTTATAAATAGCTTCACACACACACACACACACACACACACACACACACCTCCTTTGTTCCTATCTATTTTCCTTCAGGGGAATACCTGACCTGACTCTTCTTTTCTATAAGAAAACATTTGTACGATACAGGGTTATTATTTCCCTTCAAAATGATAGAGATGCGTCATCTAGACCCCACAAAGATACATTTGGAGCTAGTTCATTATTTCTAATAAAAGTCATCATTTATTTTTAAGTGTCACCATTTATACTTAAGGTTACCATTTATTGTAAGTTCTAGATGATTTATCTAACGAAGGAGAGAGAAGGTTTTCTTTTCCTTGTTTTTGTTGTGGTTTTGTCTGTTTGTGTTTAAGATCGAGTCCCGCTGTGTAGCCCAGGCCTGTCTCACCCTTGAGAAGATCCAGTCTCAGCTTCCCAAATGCTGGGATTACAAGCATGTGCTACTGTACTGGTTAACAAGTCATGCCTAGCTTGAGATTTTCTTAATGTGTAGAGGAAACACTTAAAGATGTGAAATTGGCTTATGGGAGTGACCAGACTCCACAAGATGTGTGGGGTGATGTCAAAACCAGGAAGACCACATAATAGACAACTTCTCCAAAGTGAGAAAGAAATCCCAGGCATAAAAACTTCAGCATTTAGCCAGGTGCTGGTGGCTCACGCCTGTAATCCTAGCTACTCAGGAGGCTGAGATCTGAGGATCGTGGTCCAAAGCCAGTCCAGGTAGGAAAGTTTGTGAGACTCTCATCTCCAACAAACCACTCGAAAACCGGAAATGGCATGTGGCTCAAGCAGTAGAGCGCTCGCCTTGAGCTAAAGAGCGTAGGGACAGCGCCCAGGCCCAGAGTTCAAGCCCCACGACCGACCAAAAATAAAAAAAAAAACTTCAGCATTTCTTCTCTTTGAACAAAGGAATAAACTTGTTAATGAAGTCTTTCTGCACACTTTCACTTCACTGTCAGAAAGCGGCACAAGCCAAACTACCAAGAGGGGACTGAACAGTGGCCCCCAAAAAATATGTCCAGGTCTTTCTGTGATATAACTTGAGTTTCTCAAGATGAGATCAGTGAGCTAGGAACATCCTATATCCAAGGGCAGTGTCTTCACACAAAGACAAGAAGTTGAGAAGACCGACAAGAAGAAACACAGAGATGACAGAGGCAAATAGAGGGAAGAGGGATGGAGCCACAAGCCAAGGCCAGCTGGGAAGCCCAGAGCTGGAAGAGGCTCAGAGACTCCCCTCACTCCTTTGGAGGGAGCCAGCCCCTGTCCGGGCCTGGATTCCAAGCCTTGTGGCCTTTAGAGCTGTAAAAGAACACATTTCCCTCATGTGATGCTACCCAACTGGTTGTCATTTGTCACCGCGAATACACCCTTTGAACCATTCCAGGATGGCTGCCCGCTGCCACCCAGCCCAGGCCAGATGGAAAGCCGCCTCAACCTCTAACCTTGAGCCATTCCCTGCATCCTTCCAAACAATGGATTGGCAGCCATCACACTTCCTGTGTGACAGACAGATGTTCCCAGGGCCTTTCCCCACTGTCATTCCAATGTGTCACCGAGTCGGAGGAATCCATGGTGAAAGAAAGATGGCCTAGAAAAATAGCCAGGGTCAACGCTGGCCGGAATCGAATGGGAGGCCAAACTGAGCCATTCTACCGCCTGCCAGGGTGACTAACCCCCCAAACCCCTCCTTGTTCAGCAACAAGGAAAATCAAACCCCACGTCCACTCAGTGAGCCCTCTTCAGATAAGAGAAATCCTCTAGCGACAAGGGGCCACGATGTTAATAAAGCCTGCTGATTAAAACAAACAAACAAACAAACAATCCTTGGGGCCTTTGGCTAAAGGAGAAACTTCTGGATGTTGAACTTCAGGGCCTCACATTCTTGCTGGGCTTTTGTGTTTTGCTCACAGCTGGTGCTCTACCACATGAACCATGCCTCCCCGCATTCCGCATTTTGTGCTGGTTAATTGGAGATAGTTGTCACAGACTTTCCTGCCCTGGGCTGGCTTTGAACTGTGATTCTCCAATCAGCTTCCTGAGTAGGAGGATT